CGGGTGCATTTATACCTTGCAGAATTCTACAAACGATGGAGTTATGCGAGTGTCAACTGCGATAAATAAAGCATGATTTCGAATGGCTTCCGTGAGCTATACTTGCGTTGTAATTACGCACCTAAGTCCGACATGAATCGAAGCGATGCGTGATGAGCGTCATATGCTCGAGTTCAGTAACCGGGGCCGATGACATCCTAACTGACGTCATCCCACAGAGGTGGTATCCAAATTGGCGTGTTAGCATTGTCTTAACTGAAGAAATGGGGATTTCGTACTACACCTGTGCTCCTGAATTATACTTTGCAAGAAAACTAAAAGAAAAAAAAAACGTCTAAGCGACCTCTTTTTTTACAGCTCTAAAAAATCTATTTAAAAAAAAAGAAAGGAGAGGGAGCTGGAACCTTCATAAACTGGAATCCCATGTCTTCTTTCATTAGAATATTTTAAGAAATAATTACAAATAAAATACTTTTCACAAAGTAATTGTCATACTGCAATGTCCTGTATTACAATATTAAACGAGAACCCCCACGAGTATGACTGAGATGCTTAAGCACCAAAATTTAAAAAAAAGAAACCTGCTAAGAAACCTGCCTGGCTGCTTGCCACACCCCTTTTATGCATTTCTGCAGTTCCCAGTCGAGAGTAGCGAAATATTCTCCGTACAAGTCCACGCAGTCCTTTTTTTCATGCTTACCAATACAGTTCATGTTCCGAAATCAAAACAGTGATATAATCCACAGAGACTAGTATCGGTGACTTATTCTCCTATGAATACGCTTATAATTCGAGGCTTACTAAAGAAAACTAGTAACACAAAGACGCACTTTAAGCATTATCCGATCCTAAAAGGTTGTCACGTCAAACTTGTTGGGCGTGCAAGGAAAACGCATCTTCTCAAACGCCGAACGTCAACAGTTCATTATGCCCCTAGTAAGATGGCTGCCGTAATCGCCATCTTAGGTTGGCACGACTTCACTCGTGGGCAAGAATTTCCACTACAGCACTTTTTGAAACCCCCTTGGTGTGACCGTCTGCCTGAATGTTTGTCCGTCTGTTCGTCCGCCCATCTAGTGAACACTCGAAGTACCGCCATATCACATATTTTCATCGTATAAATATCACACACAAGAACCACCATCCAGCGGACATTCCTAGCACTAACACGAGAGGTGGCTACTACACACAGAAGACGCCCAACCCACGCATTAAAAAGCTTCACCCCTAAAACGTTGACGATAGCCCCCAAAGATGTTTCTTTCACATGTGATGACAGCAACATTACGAAATTCGGTATTTTAAAGTCATTTCTTGCCCCTTTTTATGAAGTTAGTCATTGGATGAAATATGCATTGCTTAGCAGCACTGATGTTTAACGTCACATTACAGCTGTTCACAAGAGTCCCCCCAAAAGAAAACACTGAACAAAGAAGGAAAAATAGATCAGAAGCATTTATCAAGCTCATGCTTATCGAATGAGCCCACAGATTCGCTAATGCAACACGATTATTGTGACCTATTATAGTAGCTTCAATTAAAAGCTTTCATTTCTCTCATTGATCCGTTATCTTAAAAACCACCGCAGCTAATAACGAAATACTTCGTAATGGTATTCAGTGCACATGGCCGAAAACAACGGAATGAGTAATTCCCCTTGACTAAAGCGTTACGGTTCCACTGTATGTTTAATGTCAGGAACTTGTAAAATTTTGGTATTGTCAGCATATTGTTCAGAACAAAAAAAGGTAACTACGATATACCCATATTTTGATTCACTAGTGACAGCGAAGATTTCTGGTCACAAGCAGCAGCCTAATTGGATAGCTTTAAAAAAGAAAGGGAAATTTTAAAAAGAGAAGGGCAGGTAGGATAGCTCAAAGAAGTTTTCTTGATCTAACATACACATAAATGTTTAGGGCGTATACATCGCGCGCATGACTTAAGAAACGTACCAACAAGGAAGCAAAACAAAACATTATTTTACAGGCTTTAGTATAATCAATCAATACTAGAGAGCTACCTTGTCACTAATTCAACCATAACAGGTTCTTGTCACAACAGCAAATGAACGTTAATGTTCTAGCTAATCAATTTGGAAAGAAAGAAAAAAGTAGGAAGGAAGAAAAAAAAGAGAAAAAAAACAAGAAATGAAAGAACACAAAGAAAGAACGGATAAAGAAAGAAAGGCGAAAGAAAGAAAGAAAGATAGATAGATAGAAAGAAAGACTACAATGGTGGCAAGAGCAACAGGTGCCGAGCGCTCATCATGGCTCCTGCTCCTTTCACAGCAGCAGTGAACAGACTAAGTGCATCACAATAATAACCACTGGGGTTTAAAGTCTCAAAACAAGCATATCATTATGAAAGAGGCTGTAGTAGGGCTGCGGAAATTTCGACAGCGTGGGGCTCATTAACATGCGCCTTAGTCTAAGCACGCATGCCTGGATCGAGAATTTTTGCTTCCTTCGGAAGTGAAGCCCGCCGCGGCCGGTATTCGATCCTACGACTTGAGGGTAGAAAGGAAATATTGTTGTCTTGGCCCATTTTAAGCATTTCATACAGAAGAACAGCAACGACTGATCAACGCAATAACTGAAAACAATGGGAGATATTCGGTTACTTCCGTTCACTGAATGCAAGCACATCATTGTCCATTACATAGAAAATTATATATGAGTATATTAACCACAAATAATAGGTCATTGAGGGAATGAAATGTCAAATCCAAATTAAAGATGACCGATTACATTTAACCGGCAATTTCGTGCTTAAATCCTTCGTGGTTAACAGCGCGAAACACCCGGACAGAAGCGATAGAAGGACACGGTACAGCTTTTTAAGTTTCGTTGACCGCAAAATAAATGATAACCTAGGTGAATTAGCTTTGAGAATTTTCCGCTTTGTGGATGACTATTTGGTTTTCGTCAATAGGCTAAATTGCCAAATATCGATTGTGGACGTCGTAAAGTTGTTTAATGAACAGGGACAAGGTCTTAGGTTTACTATGGAGGTTCCTGAAAAGGAGGAGTTGCAGTTCTTAGACCTTAGATTGTCTTTCAAAGCGGAACATGTGTGTTGGACCTATCAACCGAGGTCAAAGAAGTCTCTTCTTGATTTCAGATCAGGGCACTCGAAATTGATTAAACGAGGTATAGCCACTTCCGCTATAAGGTCCGCCCTCAATAAGAGTTGTCCCCATCGTATGCTTGACAGCGTTAACTATCAGGTGGCGAGGCTGCGTGATGCAGGCTTTCCTCACTCTATCATTTCTACGACTTGCGATAAGCTGCTGCGTGAGGTCAAGGGGCAGTCCTCCCGAGTGAAAGAAAAAGATTTTAGCCGTTCTGTCTACATTCCATATGTTCATTCTTTTTCGCACAGATTAAAGAAAGTAGCATCTAAGTTCAGATTAAACGTTGGGTTTTCAAGCAGAACGAAGCTTAAGGGACTTTGCCAGGCAGTAAACACTCGCATAGAAGGCAGGAAGACTGGAATTTATCAGCAGTGTAGTATCAAACATACTATGAAGTTCCTCCCGTGCATGCAGAATGTCGTGTACTCAACCCCATTTTCATGCGGGCGAGAGTACATTGGTCAGACCGGGCGTTGTGTCAATATACGGCTAAGGGAACACCACAGTTCCTTGAAAGGATTTGCGCATTCACATTTGTCTTTGCATTGCCGCGAATGTGGATGCCACCCACTTTTTGAAAAAACAAAAGTACTCTTCAAGCACCCAGACAAGCTTTCAAGAGAAATTATGGAGGCATTTTTTATAAATAAGAAAGGGTCTCAATGCGTTAGCCAGCCGTCTATCGCCTTACTTGGTAATGAATTATCTTTGTTAGATAGTGGCTAAAGTTCATTCGTCTGCTCATGCCCGGTTTTCTTGGCGACATTGGAATCTTATCGTTTGAAGTATGTGTTATTTTTGTGGCAAGATTGCGTGCACATGACAAAGCCTTGTCGCCGTGTATAATTTTATCGATTGAGGGGGCTGGTTTGGTCACGAGGTCTTCTGTTCTGTCTATATATATATTCTTGGGTTTTCAATAAAAATTTCAGTTGAAAGTCAGCGCTGTACCGTGTCCTTCTATCGCTTCTGTCCGGGTGTTTCGCGCTGTTAACCACGATGAATGCTCACCAACTAGCCCAGTTTTCCATCTTGCTCGTGCTTAAATCCCAAAGGCGGTTATTCAGTTTGTCTCTGATTACAAATGCCGAATCATATATTACACAGGCCCAAGAACACGCCTTTAAACTCTATAACGTGGCTACGAGTTGGAAAGAAAACGCCTGCAGCACATCGTCAGCATATTTCATTTGGTATCTTTAAAATACGTGCGTGTTCGAACAATATGCCACTGTCACTTCGTGTTATGCTCGCTTTAAGGGACACTAATGTGACAAAATGAATAAGTTTAGATTCATTACTTGTACTTCGACTGCTCTAATGTCATTAACTTCGCCACCATATATAAGATTATCAAAGGAGAAAGCGAAGGTCAAGGCTTCATTTTTAAATTAAGCGCTGAAATGTTGCAAGTGACGTCATGGATTTCAAAAGTGCAATATTTATACTTTGGCAACATTGCCTCAATCAAATTTTATTGAACTTCGTATCTTGAGTGACAATTTTATATAGAGACATAATACTTGAAGTCTGTGAATTTTGCGTAAAAGAAGCCACAAACATTTAAATTTTAGATAGGAAATCTTTGAGGCAACGCCTTTGGGGACAAAATGCCAACACTAATCTCACAACCGCCATAAAGTAGACACCACAGTTTATTGCCAGACACTGCAATGCTTACGCTAAACGTCAAATTTAGAAAAAAAAACATTATTGAAGCAATGACTGTTATTTTGCTGTATATCGCAGATTAATGGTTGAAAAAATGAAAGAAGATGGCCTGATGTACATCTATTTAGGCTACTAACATGTAGGTGGCGTCCTCTACTTGAGTGTTCCCAAACTACAAGCCACGCTGCTCCCTCTTGTTATTGCTCTTGCTGCTTCTTTCTACTTTCCGCAGAAAACACCTACCACTTTCCGTGGACACCGTGGACTACGGCCGGCACGCTCGACGGATACGCTGCGTGTACAAGTACGAACACCTTTACCTTGGGTGATTTGATCAAGCGCAGTGGCTACAATCTTGCTGCGATAACCGCACCCTTTGCCAGAAGCACATCCGGAATCGCCGAAGGCAATCAAGTCGTGTTGTGCACCGAGTAGGGATTTGCGGCCTCACCATGATCAACACGGGGTAAGTTGTAGCGTGCAGCGCCAATTTCGCGTGCGCCCCTCGCCTCAAGCAAGCGCCGGTGAATTCTGTCAACGCCTTTGATGTCCCTGTTTTTTTTTTGTTTTTTTTCCTTTTAGCCCAATCAGTCGGCATCGCTGAGGTTGCGACCGCAACTGTTCTGAACTACGTAAAGCCAGCTAGTGTCAGCTCTGCAAGATTCGCCCATTGGTAAATTGTGCGTGCACTGGACAGGATAAATGTTTATAAGCCGTGTAACTTGTGGACAAACGTAATATTGGCGTTTTCTAAGTAAGTAGAGCCAACACCAAAGATCTGTGCGTTGGGGTTTCTTTTTAATCGACAAACTCCGCAGAAGCTATACGAGGAAGTTGTCTTCCAAGGCACTCATGGTCAACGAACTTTTTCTTTTTTTTTTTTTCTGGACGCAACGCTCCGTTTTCGGCTTTTTTATTTCCAGTTCTTTTCGAAGCAGCAATCTGTGATTTAGTGTGGGCCACTCCATCGCAAATTTTAAATCTTTTTTTTTTTTTTTTAACGAGCACTTTGGAACCGTCGCGTTGGGCCGCAAGCTTTCGGTTCGTCGGTGATTAAATTGAACGTCGCTTGCCTCCAGGCAATCGACGGTTGTGTCGTACTTGCACGCCCTTGACCGAGCTCGCACATGCCGATACGGTTGAGGAAGCCGATAATGCAACTCTTGTACGCGGAAACTTTGCTCTGTGTGAAATGCGTTGCTGTGGCACTGTAGCCTGACGTTTGAAGCACTCGTGAACGGTGCGAGACATCAATCAACCTCGTCGGTAACGAAAAAAAATTACATAAAACAAGAGACGAAAAATGGTTCGACCTTGAACGAAATACGAAGCAAAACGGATTAACGTCGCTAGCAGCCGGCAGATTTGACCGCTTGGTCAACAAGCTTGAATGTCGTCATTCGGATGGGTGGACGTCAGAGAAATAATGAAACGAAAAAAAAATGAAGCGCGAAATAGAATTGAAATGTTTCATTTCTCCGAAAAGAGCGAATATTTACATCTCCGAGTGTCTACATGTCGTAATTTTTGCATTTAAGAGAAATAAGAAAAGTTATATTTAGAGACTACTCTGACAGCTTGTCACGACCTTGCCACATCTGCGATAATATTGTTGTGGTGTTCAAAAATATGTTGAGAACTCTGAATCCACTTCAGATTTTCAGTGTGAGGTAAGGATTGCAGACTCCAGTATTACCTTTTTTGTTTGCTTACATTAATGACCATTGAGTTATGGCTCATTAAACATCTGTTTCCAACTTGATAAGTTCAAAATGCATAGTTCTTTGTATTCAGTTTGCACTCTTCATTATCTTTGTATACTTTAACCTTCATACACCCCTGCATTTTCAAGCCAATCTCAAGAGTGGGCTGACTGGTTGTGCTAATACAATAAAAGAAAGCCAACTGTATCTATATCTGACTGTCAGCCAGCTCTGTCAGCCTGTGTTATCATTCACAATGATCTGTTTTCGATCCCACTCTTCACTTGACCAGCTGCATATCGTGAAAGCTAACACACTGTTTTTGTTTTTCTTCTAATTGTGAAAGCCAGCACACTGTTTTTATTTTTCTTCGGATGTTAATTTACTGCATATTTGGTCTTGACAGCGGAACTGATTGATAACGCAGCCTTTTTTTTTGCCGCCAGATACTAAGGGCACAGGTTGGGCCCCATGCGGCCCATGTATTTTAAGGCTGTTTTAAGGACAATTTTCTTAGAAACTATTTTCTGTAAACTATTTCAGGTTGATTAATTTAATTCTAAAGTCTCTCTTATTGTGATGTAGCTAGAATTACAATTTTGTTTCAAGTGTTGACATTTTTGCAATTTTTCAGCAAAGCAAGTAGTTTTTGTTATAACTTTTAAAACAAAACTGCCAACAAACTTGAATGAGAACTATTGTGTGCACATATGCGATTCTAGCTCAGTAGCCTTGTATTGGTGCTTAATAGTATAGTAAGAATATAGTAAAAAAAAATCTTCATCTTTTCACGTTTTTATAATGGGCAACAAAAATATTTGATTTTGAGGCATTGAGAGTCAGAGACAAAAAAAGTTTTACTTCATGCTCATTTTAAACGAAACAGGTATTAAACACTTCGATTAAAGAGACTCTGCGATGCTTCTTCATCCGCATTCTGGTGTGCTGTAGTTCGTGCAGTGCTAAATACCAAGATGAACACAAAAGAATTATTGAAAACGGTATGCTCTATTGGAAGTTATTAATATTCAACCTTCAAAACCCCAGAAGACGATGACAAGAAACATTCCCTTTCGCATTTCACTCTCCCAATCATGTCAAGGGTTCTCTCCAATCACCAGGCTCCTCTGAAAGACGCTCCACATGACTCGCCTTGTGGAAGGGTCATTTTGCGTTCATTCTCACATTTTCATATTCAAAACAGAAATTCTTTGCATCAATTGAAGTATAAATAGTACTCCTATAGTTTTTGGCGCATAATAGAGTGGCCTAACTGGAACCATATGAATATCACGCGAGACTTGTCGCGTCGAACCATCAAAGTGAAACAGCCTACGACGTCATTCCCTTGTGGGGAAGCACCTTCCAATCACAGAAATAGCCCGTTGTGTGTCACCCTTGTCCAAAAAAAAAGTGCGGTTTTTTCATAGAAATAAAATTAGAACAGGTAGCTTAATAGCATCGTCACTTGTGCAACGATATCGCTGCATTCCACAGTTTGAGAAGTGATGAAAACAACAAGCTTTACTTGTGCCACAGGGCTCCTTTAATAGCGCCCAGCCATGTGCTCATCACATGAATCAGTGCTATTTGATACTTTTTTTTTTCTCTTGGCTTCCTGGCTTGTTCTTTTATATCTTTTTTCTCTCTGTCAGCAGAATACTGTCGATGGCAGTCACTCTCACCCAGCTATATTACAGCGTTGGGCAATGGTGATGTGCCAGATCAGAGCGTTTACTCTGGCAGTGCAGGCCTCGGTGAGAGAATAGTGTCAGAGGTCTCTGAAGGTTTACATTCTAAGGAACACAATCCATTTTGTTCTCTACGAGTGCCATGGTTCTACCACATTCTCTGCATACAGAGTATTTGTTATCATGCTCTGTACAAGCTTCACTGAATCAAAACGTAGCCATTGTCCCTACAAGCAATATTTTTTTTTTGGCAATGAGGAATAAGGACAAAAAAACAACTTTATTGAAGTGATTGTGCGAGTGTTGCCAATCTCATTGAAGTTATTAGCATAGGTTTCCTGGTATGCAATTGCACGGCACTTTCTAAGCAGTTTTTCCCACTTAGTAATCATGATAAGTTTTTTTTTGCAACTGTAACTAAGTTCAAAATAAATTCACGGGATCGCAGCAGTCAAATAAGGGCAAAGGTGCCGCCACGCAGTTTACCTTGCCCTGCTTGCATGTGACGAAAACTTGCGGGGAAGCTAGCGCTGATCAACGTCATCAACATCTTGCAGCACAGTGTCCAATCGAGTGAAGAAGTGCATCACACTTCAACTAGTGCAGCAAGTGCAACCAAGTCGAGGAGACCATTTAGTTTCTGGCTAAAAAGGCAAAAGTAAAGCGCCACTGTGTCTAATAAAACTTGTTTTGTTATTTGAGGCCCGTGTGCTTAGATTGAGGTGCATTCAAAGAACCCCAAGTGGTCAAAATTTCTGGATCCCTCTACTACGGCATCGTGCATAATCATATGATCATTTCGGGACATCATGGCCCAGATATTCTTATTATCAAGACTTGTTTTGGTAATATGGTTTCACAAATATAGTGACCACATGCAAGGGAAGTCATCTTGTTTAGCCACCTATCTAATGCTTCCTCAGCGGTTAAGAGATGGAAACACACAGCCACGCTTTCTGAAAATAAGCAAACAATTCTTTTGTGTGCTACTCTCAGCAAACTAGCTGGGAGGACACTCTTCATCACGGGCGCCAGCCGAGGGATCGGCAAGGAGATTGCCCTGAAAGCCGCCAAGGACGGTGCCAACGTGGTAATTGCTGCCAAGACGGCCGAGCCCCATCCTAAGCTTCCAGGCACCATCTATACAGCCGCCAAGGAAGGTAGGCCTGCCACAATCTCAATTGATTAGCTCCTGTGTTACACCTAATATTTTTGTTCAATTCTATGCTGGATCCCATGTATGGATGAAAACATGTAAATATTGCATGTGAATAGATGTGGATATTTTGTGTGAATGTATAGATGGGAATGCACTCAGATGTTGTCTATACACAGATGTGTGGATATAGATGTGTGTGAATATGTATTGTATTTCCTCCCCTTGTCCATTTGTATGCACGTTGTATACTTTTCCCCAAACCAAAGGGGCAGGAACCCTTTTAAGCTGCTGTTTTGCAGCTTCTTGTTCTTTGCCATTGCATTTTCTTTCTGTGCTGTAAACAAAAGGAAATGCAAAATTAATTTAAAACCTCTTCTATGTGCTTTTTTCTTGCTAATGTTTGTTCATACTGAATCTCATCTCGCTTCAGTGTATCCTCTCACAGATCACTGGATAAGAGGATACTCCTTTATATACATTACCGCCACGGTGGTGTAATGGCTACAGCGTTCGGCTTCTGACTTGAAAGTCACAGGTCCCATTCCGGCCACGGCGATCGTATTTCGATCTCGGCAAAATGGTAGAAGCCCATGTGCTTTGTGTTGAGTGCACATTGAGGAACACCAGATGGTCAAAATTTTCAGAGCCCACCACTATGACGTCGCTCATAATCATATCAAGGTTTTGGGATGAAAACCCCCAGATATAATTGTTGTCATGTACACTAACAAGTTCAATTTGATTTCACTACCTTCATTTACTAGTATATAATAGAAAATATTCTAGATGGGCCTCTAAGCTAAGAGCTGACAAGAAGCAACTTATGGGGCCCAGGAGATCACTTACAATATGAAAATTAAAAAAAAAGGCTTACACTACATTTTTTTCATGCAGCGTAACATGCGTAGGCCTCACACGCAGATGACTAATTGACCGATTGAATGTGGATACCTACCTAACTTCGAAACAAACTTTAAGTAGACTCTTTGGTAGATTGCTGCCATTCAGCCAGCATTTATTATGTTTAATTACAGAGTGGATTCTTCAGTTTCCAATGTGCTGCTTGTTATAGCTATTGCAAAATGCCTTAACGTACACATTTACTGACTGGGACTTCAGCGACAACCGTGTTCAATTCCAACATTGCGTACGCCAATGCAGCAGAGGGTGGAGTGGGGTTTATAAAAAAAGCTTAGACGCCAGATGCAGACCTTGAGGTTATGACACATGCATGATGAGAAAGCAGGATCGTTAGATGCATGTCTGAGTTTAGAGTTTTCAGGACATGCCTAGGCCGACTATGACAGTTGCGACCGTGGGTGCTTATGAGAATTCAAGCGCTGTCTGTGTGTAACAAAAAACCAGTATGGCATCGACAATGCAGGAAAATTCTTGTTCTCTCTGTTAGCAAATTCAATTCGTCATGTGCTGTCGCAACTGCTATAAAAAAGAACATTTCTTTGTTGCATGATAATAGATGACTGAACATAAATAGTGTGGCTGTGAAACAAAAGAAGGGCGTTACAAAGAGTGCTACAGAATGACAGTTACTTGTTGTAAGAGTGTGCGACTATAATGACCTCTCATGTCTAGCATTTTGTTGAGGTGCTTTGTTTTGTAGTTTCTTAGTTCTAGGTTTCTTGTCTGTAAACCACACCTGTAATTTTTACATTTTCAATGCAAGCAACTGAATTGCAGTTAGTTCCTAGTTTTTGATATTTATAGCAAGAAAGTTTGTAAATACTGTATTTAAAAATTTTAAATTAAAAAATTAGTGTTCTATTCACTTTCGTACTCGAATCGTATACTGCAGGGACTGGCAACTTGCTGCCTGCAGGCCGCATGGGGTCTGCGGGGCAGCATTTTGCGGTCCCTGAAACGACGTCAGAACCTTCCCCTTGTGACTTCCTATTAGAAGATCATTGTGGCAGCTCTGATGTCAGAGTTTGACAGGAACAAATAAATATTGATTCCAGTTGGCGTTGTCCCCCATCATCACACTTAGCCAGAATTTAAGGAAACGTGGTGAAAACTTAGCCAGTTTTGTACGTAATTCCTGATTCGTAGAATTTTTTCTCCATGTCTGCACAGCCCTTCTTTGCTCATAGTTTGGCAAACTCACTCATGGGTCGGCTCGCTCGGACACACTCGGACCCAGATTGAGCAAGGAGTTTGAGTCTGAGTGAGTCTGGTGGAAAAAACATTTTTGCCAGTGTGGGTCCGAGTCAGTCTGGTAAAGGAAAATTTTGGCAAGTCCGAGTTCGAGTGAGTCCATAGCAAGTCCATAGCACAGTATGTGTTTACTGACCGAGTCGTGAGTGAGTTCCACTTTTTTTTTGCTGACATATCGTCCCATCTACTCATAATGAGTATTACTATGAGCCTTACCTAGACTCAGGTTAATACCCAGTTCTACTCGTACATATTCCGAAGCAGCGTCGATTTGTACACCATTTTCGTATTTAGTGATAGAGGCACAAATTGCGGGGAAGGGTGCCTTGACCGACACCCACCGCCAACTCTTCCAGATAATATCTTCATAAATATCTCTTATGCAGTCATCTCTCTCTAGAAAAAATGATCTCACGGGTTAGTGAGCTCTCACAGCTCTTGTTTAAAGGTACTATATCAAAGTGTGCCACCAACAGCATTGATTACGTAAGATATTGGTGGTAAAGAGGATTGACACTACAGTCGAAAAAGATAACTTTAGGCTAATGGACTCATGAGTTGGCTCACTCGGGCTCAGACTTAGCCAGAAGTCTGCCTGATTCTGGCTGAATAATGTTCCGGTGAGTCTGTGTTCGAGTGAGTGCAAATCGATAGATATATTTCATGAGGGAAGCTAAGCGAGTTCCGCAAGTTTTGCCGACTTACGCCCCCCCCCCCCCTCTTTTTTTTCAACTTGCTGTCTGTCCCCTGCCTTGTTGGCTTCATGCAACTTGGCTGGCCCTTCTCTTCAAAAAGTTTGTGTCCTCTGGAATAGTGCATATCGGAAATTTAGTGTATTTTTCTCATTTTGTTTTCTTATAATAAGTATTGATGAAAAACATTCGGAGACGAAATGTTCAAAGAGAGAGAAATAACATTTGTTGTTTTAATCACTGAATCAACAAAATGCCCAAGGTGCCCAATGTTTTATGGTACTATGGACACTGTATGGAGAACAAGAATAATGTGCTTTTGCCTAAAGCTCAGGTGTCACCAAAGTGACAGTTATGTATATTTGCTATATTTACAAATATATTCACGGCAATGTTTACCGGTAAACGCTGTCTAGTATTTATAGATGCATTAGTTTTCTTTGAAAGCTATTAGCAAAGCACCATCTTGAATACTCTAGTCACTTATGTATTTCAGCCTGGTCGTACAAAATATTTCCATGGTCAGTTTTCTGAAGCCGGTTGCTGCTGTATGCAAGCTTGCCTCAGTTTACAGAACTGTGGGTTTTTTTCTTTTTGATGGTGAAAGATAATTGTAATGTGCCTTTGTTAAAGCTAGTGAGTAGTTATTTCAAGTAAAGTATTGTGCAATTCTGGGGCTGTTTTGAAAGTGTTTACATTACCATTGTAGGGCTGCATTGAATATGGCTGCTTTACTATTCAAAAACCGTTCAAAAAATATTAGATTGGCATTCGTGTTCAATGGGTGTTTGATTAGGCTTTAAAATTAAGTATTCGTACAGCTCTTAACGAAGACCCTGTACGTAATATATTCTTTCAACAGCATGATCCTTCTACCCGTGTGCTCAACGTGGCTCTGTATCTCATTAATGCTAAAGCCCAAAAAATGTGTGATTGGTTAAGGAAAACTTATCAGGAAAGTGTATCAATACTTCCATAGTTTCAATGAAGAAGAGAATGAATTGGCACAAAAATACAGGTCCTCATGCTGACTATGAGCTGAAATTTTTAATTCTTTAAATACAAGCATTCTATATGAATGTAAAGCTACTTTATATTTGAGTTCACTTTACTGATATATCTTGAAACAACTACCTAACATACTGTGGCAATAGAGTAGCAGCAATCTGTAGTAGACATAACGAATTAGTGAAGCTTTGCATAATTAATTGTTGTCCTAAAGGAAAAATCGCACACAGTTTTTGGCATCAGTGCCCAAGGTTTCCAGTGTTATCCAACCGCAACAGCACCTTTTCAAATCATTATTCAACATTTGGTAAAGTGTATAACAGAAACCTCCCTTTACCATTGGATTATGTACTTTTCATAGCCAAGAGAAAGTGGAAGGGCCCTTGCCTATTATGCATGCTTGTTTACTAGTATCACAAGTGAGCACAGCCTAGTCTTGGCTAGTGATGACTAATGTCTTTTATGTGTTCACCATATGCTGACTAAATGATGTCTCGTGTTGGAAAGTGTTGTCCAGTTAATAACGGCTCAGGCCTTGTCATAATAGCGATATTGTCTTAATTTAATCTAAACCTAATCATGCTATGCTCTCCTGTGTACGACGTACTGAAGTACCCGTGCTGGTACTGCCTGAATGGATTTCTCTCTCTCTCTCCGTCTATCAGTGGAAGCTGCGGGAGGCAAGTGCCTTCCCTGCGTCCTTGACGTCCGCGATGAGGAACAGGTCAAGAGGGCCGTCGGGGACGCCATTTCCAAGTTTGGCGGCATCGACATCCTGGTCAACAACGCGAGTGCCATCAGTTTGACGCAGACACAGAGCACAGAGATGAAGCGCTACGACCTGATGCACTCTGTGAACGTCCGCGGCACATTCCTCACGTAGGTTTTTCATCCAATGAGGGTGCCTGGTGTATAGACAAGCACCTGTTAGGTTGAGCTGGATTTCTGGGCTGACAAGATCTGTAGAAAAATGAAGACAGTCAAAATTTAGCTGTGAACCTGGTTTTAATGGTCACCTCCATGCCCCGCTAAGGTGGTCTAGGGGCTAAGGTACTCGGCTGCTGACCCGTAGGTCGCGGGATCGAATCCCGGCTGCGGCGGCTGCATTTTTGATGCAGGCGAAAATGCTATAGACCCGTATGCTCAGATTTGGGTACACATTAAAGAACCTCAGGTGGTCGAAATTTCTAGAGCCCTCCACTACGGCGTCTCTCAGAATCATATGGTAGTTTTGGGACATTAAACCTCACATATCAATTAATTAAATAATCATGGTCTACTGTGATGCATTGGCAGTTGTTTGTTGCATCACGCCCCAGTGTGCAATAAGCTGTTCTGTTTTATGTTATCGTGCCCACATGTCCGTACGAACTCATCAACAAACAGCACGTCTTGCTGTTTATTGACGAAATTAAAGAGCCTTAGTCCAAAGCTCCAAGATACCCGCTGATACATCACTACTGTCGTTTTGTCGCCATTTTCATTCCCAAGTTTCTAGCTGTTGGATCTTTGAACATGGACTGTAAACAAAACACCACATTTGTAGGATTAGTAGAAATAACCCTGGCCATTTTTATTCGATCTCCGTCATCAGCGAAGGCATTATAAAGCTGCTTTCGATTACTAGCTCCTAGCAAGTAGGATTGCGAGTTCAAGCCTAATGTTTTTGTTTTTTTACGATTTGCAGACTCTTCGGTAAGCTGAAGCAGTTGTTAGTTGATCCAGACCTCTGTAAAGCTGCCACAGCCTTGTAAAGTCAGCCCTTCATGTTGCACTTGACTGAATCAGCCTATATCTGATAATCGTCTGTGTGTTTCACGTTGGTGCGTGTTGCAGAGCTTTGTTTCATTCGCCCGTGCTATAACTTAAAGTTATTGGGGTGCATCAGGATGGATGAAGAATGACCGCCACATAAATGGAGTGCAAGCGCTTGCTGAAGGAAAAGGTTGACGTCTCGTCTTTGTTCTCTTTTCTTGCTGCAGCTCCAAGTACTGCATTCCCCACCTGAAGAAGTCCAGCAATCCGCACATTCTCATGCTCAGCCCACCGCTCATCATGAAACCAATCTGGTTTCAAAACCACCTAGGTACCCGAGCCTTCTCTACAAGTCATTTGGGGCTTCTAATACCCGTATGCACGCCATGTTTACTTTGTTCTAAAAAGCACCAAGTTGCAGTTCACACACTTTCATCGTTATAAAGTGAGAAAAATCATGCAATCCCGGTAGCAGTCTGCATTGCATAACTTGTTTTTTCTTATCTTTAACATGCGTGGGCATTATTTCGAAAATTATTATTACTATCCCCTGACTCAGTTTATCGATCTGTATCAACATGTTTTGGATGCTTGCTAGAGTGGGTTGTCAGTTTCCATCAGAGAAAAAAATCATGGTACCCACTTGGAAACTTGCTTGCTAAATGTTTGACATATGCAAATTACAAGCACATGCGAATGTTCAAGCAATTTGAATGTTTGCAAAAATATTACAGTATTTGTATTCGCTTCAGCTTGAATTTAAAATGTTTTTAAATTTGAAGAATCTGTATTGAACTAATAAACATTACAAATTGCGTTAGCCCCCCTGTAAAGATGGTTTCATTGCAGTGGAGTGGTGCTGAACTGAGGAAACAACGATTCAGGGGAAATCCGCACTGCCGCGAAGTTCTACTTCATGGTTCAGTGGGCGCATTACCCTTACATCAGTTCATCTTTTTGAAGTTTGAAAGCTTGTTTTACTGGCTCATATGCTTGCTCTATGTATAGTGAGTTTTAAAATCTAACGAATTTTGCAAGTTATCACTTTCATTTTGCCGAAAGTGACATCGCGCTACTATTCGCAGTTGCTTCCACTCTGCTTCGAAATAAAAAGAATGACATTTGCACAGGCTTTGTGTCAGTCCTAAAAAATATTGTGCAGGTTAGTTTGGTCATGACAAATGTGCACATTTTCAAAGAATACATACATGATGTATACTATTCAAATTAGGAATCATTTGATAAATCACCTGTTTGCTTGAAGCCTATAATTTATTATTGGCACAAGCCTACCTAATTATTTCAAATTTCAGTCTGCAAGCTCCACAGCGAGATCTGCTATTGCTGGCAAGACGTTATTAACAGACCACGCTAGCACTGCACCCAACTGTGCTGCAAGCAATCAATACCAAGTGCACCAAGCCACATCGCACCATGCAGTGGATCTGTTGTAGGAGACAGTAATATAATAGATAGTTGGGTATAATATACATCACCCACTCACATTTTTTTACTTCTTTATCTATAAAACACGCAGTGAGGGTACCACCACTAAATGTTTTTTTTCCTAGTTGCATAATAGCTGCTAAATGTGCAAAACGTGAAGCATAAACATGCTATTTTCACAACATTGCATTTTAATCCATTCACCAAGTAAGAGGTCTCCTCACTCTTTACTGTCCTGCTAAAGCATTTTTTCAGTCATTTTGATGGTTCCTTTAGGAACGCACAAGCTGTTGGAGCATATGTGATGTATATGTGACAAAGCATATGTGACGCATAGCGGTTCTTTCACAGGAAAGCGCTGAGTATGTACTATTTTCATTTCTCTTCGAACAATTCATTGATTGAGCACTTTACCACGAACTGAAGCATTGAGCACTTCCTAAGTGTTCAGCACTTCCATCTGTGGACTGAAGTGCACATCAATCCGTGAGGTATTCAACATTTTTGAATGTGCAAATAATGGGACATTCTTTTTTGCCTTGCAGCTTACTCTATGTCCAAGTACGGAATGTCCATGTGTGTTTTGGGCTTGTCCGAGGAGCTGCGTGCAGATGGCATTGCCGTCAATGCTTTGTGGCCTAAGACAGGTGAGCTGTCTGTTCTGGGGGAGAAACACGTAATACTTGCTAACACGAAGCTGTGTACAACATCACTCCTTCCAGCACAATCGTTTTACTCTGCCTTAAAAAATTGTTTATACAGAACACACGTGTCAATTCCAAGTTCATTCAGAAAATCGGACAGTTCAGACAAATCCTTTTCCGGCAATAGTGTGGAAGTAAACTTAACGGCAGTGCATGCTGTGGCCAGGCCGACCCGGAATATGTACAACACAAGTCATTTGGGGCTTGTGTTGAAAACTAAAAAACTAGTGTCAGTTATATCGTGGCAACTCCCATGGATTTTCTGACAAGCCTTTGGAGCAGTTTTGTAGGTGCAACGCTTTTAAGGTTGGCCAAATTGAGGATCATGTGTAATGGTGATTGATATGTACTTTTTAATCATGGAAAATCTTTAAAAACTCGTTTAGCGATCAGTGCTTCTTTCGTAAGAATCATTAGAAGCACTGTATGTATTTCGGTGGTTCTTTTGTAAAGAAAAAATTGAAGCTTCAACAGGACTTACTGTCTGCAATTTATTTATTTTACTTGGAATACTGCTAGCTCGTATAGGCTGTTACAGGGTGGTATTTGATCACAAAATACAGTAAAATCTGTCACTGCAAGTTGTAATGCTCCACAAGAAGAGAATAAACACACAAGCAGTACTAGTTTTCAGTCATAAGAAATACTACTTCAGGTTCGATTCAAAGGAAGCCAAGCTATTGATGCCATTGAAAACTTCCAGACCATGGCCATTCCATTCAGCTACAGTCAACGTCCGATTTCCCGGAACCGCGAGGAACCGCGAAAACGTCAGAAAAATCTGGCAGTCCAGAAAAACGAATGCAAGTGAAAACACACCTTTTTCATCGACATTTTTTGCTGATTGAGAGGGTCATCGAAAGAGTACACAATTCTTATTGCAATCCAGCAAATGCAAGGTTTAGGTGGCTCTGAAAGGAGCCGTTTATACAAAATAAAATCAAAAGAAAGAAAAAAAGTTTCATGTGGCTGGCATTGCCGCATTTGTAAACACTTAGGTCCAAGAAGAAAAAGTCCCTCATTTTCGTTTGCATGTCATTAAACTTGCCCACGATGATGTATGCCTCAATTTCAGCTAACATTATGTTGCCACTTTACACTGACAACAGTGCCATTGCTCACGTGAACTCTGAGTTCATTGGATGTGTAGGTGCCGCCTCTTCGATCTCGGTGTTGTATTCGTCGGAATCCTCCATAACTCGACGAATGATTTCATCATTGGTCAATTCTGCACACAGCTCGAGGTCTCTGTCAGCGTCGGCGAAGCCCTCAAAGGTTATCTCGGCTGGAATCATAATACTGGCAGCGTGCAGATCGTCAAAGGCAATGTCCCCATGTGGAAGTTGGTCGCACACGCTGTCCATTCCAGGCGAGATGGCCGTCTCGCCGTGCAGTATGAAGCTTGCGTGGCGAAAACAGTTCCAGGGGGTCTGTTTTGTAACCGCCTTCCATGAGTCTGCAAGCGTGCCGACCGCAGGCTGTAAGTGAACAGCGTAGCTATTCCAACTGTTGGAGAACAGGCAACAGGGCACCATGCGACTGTGGCCGCAGACTTGACTAAGGTACAGCTGGCAATGAATTGGTGTGTGCTGTATTGTGGCCTTTGCGGTTTCAAGGATATGGTAGCCGCGATGCAGTGGGTTCGAGGGTACGAAAACAATGAAAATGATGGCGTCAATAGTGACTTCGAGTCTGCGGTTAGCGGTAAAAAGTTTGGAAAATTGAATGGCAATAGCTATGAACGTCCGGAATTTAGGACTTTTTATAATATGTTCACTCTATGGGCAACTTGACGGTGCCACAGATAAGTCCAGGAAATCGGGCCTCCAAGAAATGGGATGTTGACTGTATGTATGAACAAGAATTGTATATTTATACATGTCAACTCGCAGCCTATAGGACGAAAAGAGATCAGTTGGTGCGACAAGAATTTGCTCCAGGTTGGAGCACGTTGAATTTGCTGCTTGACAGCTGATCAAGGAATTTTAGGCGGGCAATTTAGCGTTCTTAGTCCTGCCCATGCTAGCAGGCTCGTTGCATATTGTGTTTGTCAATTAGACAAGTAAATTAATTTTGTTGCCCATTTTTGAACATGTCCCAGCCTATCGACATGGTATTGCTGGGGAGGATCTAAAGTTATCTAGCATATCTAGTAAACTTGAAAATTTCTGAGGTGACATTAGCTTGTTTATAGTTCGTGGTATCCGCCTTAGCTTCTCTTAATCAAGAAAACACAGGAGTGAGTTTTATTGTTTTTATTTGTGAATACATGCATGAAGTTTCTCCTCACATGCTAATACAGTGGAATACCGATTTCACGACCCTCTCAGGACTGCGCAAAATCGTCGCAAAATGCAGGTGTAAAATCCAAACATGAAAATTTACACCCACAAAAAATGTTTAGCAAGCGGATTAGCGAGAAAGTTTAACACAAACTACCATCAAACTCTACAGGGCTCTAATACAAAGCAAAAAGTATACTGCCGCGCAGGTACTAGTTATAATTCATTTAAACGAACCTGAGTGCTCCGCGATCCGCTGGCTCGATTCCCAAGAGCCGTAGTGAGGCATCAAATACACTTTAAAAAATATCTGTAAGCTTCTTCTGCACTTTCTTTAAGCCCATCCGCAAAAGCTTCCCCTCAATATTGGAAATGTCCGAAGGCATGTCCTCCGTGGCGTTCGTATGCGCTGTGTGCCTTGGCCCCGCACACAGAAGAAAGAAGGTGCGGCGGGTCCCTATCGGTACGGGCGGGCCGGCGCTGCCTCCTTCCTCAGTCTCCGCTGCCTCTCGGAGTGAGTTGCGTGTCTGATAGTTCTGTGTTGGAGAAAGCGCGCGCATCTTCGATAGCGGGTATGCCATATTGTACGCGGAGGTGACATGCCCGAGAAGACGCTCATGGAGCTGCGTCCGCGGGTTGTGGATGCACGACTGCGAGTTCAGGCCATTATGCGCATTGTTGTACAAGCTCCCGTAGGGGGAGCGATGCATTCATTTATCAAGGGTGACTGTTGATAGCAGATGGCAGCTGCACAGCTGAAGGTACGCGATATTGTTTTGAGATGCGCTTTCGTGTAAGTCCTAATAATGCCGCATTACATCACATTACATCCTAATTATGCCTTCCCCCTCCTCAACTAAAATGCTACACAGGTTAGCCTTCCCTAGACAAAATCCTTCGGACGCATTTGCATAACGAAAGCAGGAATGAGATGGTCGTACAAAAAGGGTGAAAAGAATGTGGAAAGCCACAACCGCGCCCCTTTATGCCGCTTTCACAGCCGCTAAGAGGGTGAAAGGAAGACGAACGAACGGCATCTGAAAGCCAAAGTGAACTGTTTTACCAAGCTCTCGCCATGCGAAGGGTTCCTCCTGCTGGTGTGGCAAAAAACACCCGCGACACGTCCTTTTTGTTCGTCATTTTGTCTCTCCGCTTCGTGCGGATTGTCGTGAAAAACGGGTTCGGCGTAAAATGGCGTTGGATAATTCAGGTTTTTAATGCATTGCATCTATGAGGCTTTCGCAGGGACGGGACAAATCCGTCGTAAAATGCGAGTCTTCTTGAAACCGGGGGACATGAAACGGGGATTCTACTGTACAGAAGAATAAAAATTATATGTATTCAGGGTTATTTTTTGTTTGTTCTTCGAATGCATACGTGTTGTGTTCTCCTAACTAAACGAAAATGAACTTGCTTTCCCCCCCTTTTTTTTATCGTCTCAGCTATCCACACAGCAGCCATAGAGATGCTCATGGGTGCCGAGCACGGTCAAAGCTCCAGCCGCAAGCCTACCATCATGGCCGATGCTGCGTATGCTATCCTGACCAAGCCCAGCCGGTCTTTTACTGGCAACTTCTGCATCGACGAACGGTTGCTGAAAGAAGAAGGGGTCAAGGACTTCGAACAGTATTCGTGTGTGCCTGGTGAGCGAAGTTTGTCTTACATTGCGACAGATACTGAGAGAGAGCCCGACTATAGAGAGCATTTGTTGCAACAGCAAATATATGAATACTCTTGGCAGGTTTTTGCTGTCGCTGTTGCCGTTGGCGCCATTGTGTCTTTCATATATATTGACATGAGCATGTAGTGGGTTTCAGGCTGTTGCGGGGCTAGTGTCATCATTACTTGTGCGTGTCGAAGGATTTGGTCGGCAAAAAAGACGACCACGAACTCGCGCTGCTCGATCGAAGCTATTCCGCTGTTTGCTACACTGTTACTAACACTGATTTTATTACCGTGACAATGTGTACAGTAGACACATAAAACGGAACCTGAAGGTACTGGGAAAATGTGTTCCATTTAACAGGAGCTCCGTTTAGTGAGAAGTGAACTGAGCTGCAGCGTTCAAGTATGAAACCAATCGTATCAGAGGCAGTAATTCCATTTAAGCGGCAGTTTTGTTTAAAAGATTTCTATTTGTCGAGAGTCCATTGTACTGTAACCTTTGTGTTAACAAAATTGGATTTCTTGAAATATCGCTTTAATTCAAATTTATTTTGGTTCCGACCCAAACACATCGTATTAAGGGGGGACATAGGTCTTTAAAATTTTTTTTCTGTTTTTGGCTCAATCTTGACCAATCCTCACCATCTTGGACAGTTTTTCATGCTGATTTCAAATATGTAATTGTTTCTGAAATAGCTTCTGTGGATAAAAAGATATTAACATCTGTGATTTAATTAATTGTGCACTTCATTGGGGGCTTTTTGGCAACTTAATCAAGCTAGATCCAAAAAATAAATGCATAGCCCCAATGCTGAGGGCTTTCTGTATGGGGTGATGCTATTTTTATTAATTTTTAGGCATTATATAGATAAGAAAACAGACCAGCACTTACAACGGATATTCTGTTCAATTTTCGCTCATTACTATCCATAATTGTAATTAACAGTATGCTTCTAGAGTAATCAAAATAGCATCACCCCATAGGTAATGTTATTACAAATAAAATGATACCAAGTTTGTAATTCTCAATCAACAGTAACATATAAGAAAAACCCCTAAGGTTTAGTGTGGTGCACAAGAACATCGAACTGAGAAAAACGCATTTAAAGTTTCTAATAACTGTAACTTTTGCTAAAGTGAAGCTAGAGCAATAAAAATGGCACCGTTGTATAGCTCTACATTATGTGAGTATGGCTGTACCAAATGTGTCAATGCACCTTCCCAAAATATTTGCCATAGCTCATTTAAAAACTGTGTACTGGCCGTTGAATCAGTATAAGGAACCCAGTCTACAACTTTGTGGCTGTTCTAGTGCACTGAAAACCAAAGGAAGACACATGTTATATATAAAAACATCGCCCTTTTATACATAAAACACTATTTCAAGTAAAACACACATTTTTGTCCCAGACATCCTTCATCAATGCGCTGCCTCGGCCATCTCCGGCGTTCTCGGCGGCGCGCGGGCCGCTCCCTTCTGCCGCGCATTCCACGCTCGCTTTCGTTTCCTGCCGAAAGCTTGACGAGTGTTCTTCTTCAGGCGAGCTTCCCAAGCCATGCCGGCGAAATGCAGAAAGACGTATACGACGGCGACGTCGGTACACGAGCGGGTAGCAGACGAGATAACACGCACGAGAGCAGGCGCCGACGGAGCAAAACCAAACAAACAAAAAAAAAGAGCGATCAACCTTGGCCGCGCCGCCGCGCCACCCAATGGTAAGCGCGAGACAGGGGGGCTCGCCGGCGCGCGCGCGCTCTAGCCAATCAGCGGTTCGGCAGACGGCTTCGCAACACGGGGGAGGGCAGTCGTTGTGTTGGAGCTACGCCATTTTGAGAGCCCGCAAAACGCGCACAAAGGAACCAGCTTCAAAACAAGCCCAAGATGGCGCCGATCCGCCGGCTGCTTCGCTGGCGGCGCGCGCGGGAAGTTCGAACAAATTTTCTGTTTTGCGGGTTGTTTTGCGACTCCCGTGATGGTTTGAAAATAGATTTTAACCTATTTTTTTATCGAATTCAGCGTTAATAATTTGAGGAGAGGTGCTTATAGGTTCAAAGATTTGAAAAATGCGTTTTTCTCAAAATCGATTTTTTGGCCATTTTTTACTTTTCTAAGACTTGCGTCCCCCCTTAAGCTCTATTACTCAAAGCATATGAAGAGCATGACCCTAGAATGAAGCAGTGGTTGGAGGTGTCGCTGAGCGATAGTGACCTTTCTGTGCATGCAGTGTCAAATTAATGCCACAAACGAACTACTGTATTTACTCACATAATTTTCACACTCCTATAATTCTCACGTTCCCGCATTGCCCAAGAAAAATATATTTTTTTCATGAGTAATCATCGCACTCCCAAAAATTGCTCCAATAATGTTGTCTGCTTCCAACCACTGATGATAGCATGCAACAGCCTAGCACCATTTCTTAATTAAGCATCATGCTTACTGCCATTTAACAGAGCTCTAATCTAATCCAAGCCAAGCCACAATTACCAAGTACGCGTTTTGGCCTGTAATGACAGCATGTGACGTCCTTCTGCGACTAGGCTATGGATCGGTACGGAGGCTATGCGGCGGCCTTCAAGTTAAAGCTGATCGACTATGCACTAGAAAATGGCAACAGGGCCGCTGGCAGGCACTTCAGAGTTGATGAATTTTGTGTTCTGTACTGGCGACCGCAGCTCGCACAGCTGAAGCCCACCAACAAGACACATCGTGCTTTCCGGGGGCCTAACACTGGACAATATCCACAGGTAGAGGCGACACTTCTCCTACATCAAGGGTCACCGTGTAGATGGGTGTGCCGTATCCATCGAGTTAAAAACAAGGTGTGCGTAATTTCCAGGAAGGAGGGCGTTCGGCGCAAGATTTCTGCGCAAGAAATGGATGGGCCGCACACTTTATGTGACGAAGTGAACTGTCACTTAGAAGACGGACGACTTTGTGTTAGCAGTTACCTCGGCATATGAAAATAAGATTGTCCTTTTTTCAGTGATTTGTAATCCGGATTTGGCAGGAAAAGAACTTTTTGCTCTCGCAAATTCCAAATGCGGATCAAACGCCGCTCAATTTTTAACATGCCGCATGACACGACAGCCGAAGAAAAAAGTGTACTAAGTGCGCACTTTTGAACAAGGTGCAGAAAAGCAGAGAAAGTGCACAGTCATGCTCGCCGTTTCAGCGGAAGGATGAAAGCAGCCATCTGTAGGGCATGTACGCCTGTTTTCATGTGTTCTGTTTCGTCACAGTGCTTGCGTCAAAGACCTAGACCGCACAAAGGTCACTTTGCTTGATGGTGCAGCGGTGTAAAAGAAAACTACCGATCGGCGAAGAAACCAGACCGAACATCGTTTCTTGTTTTCAACTTCTTCTTCTTCTCTCTGCAGTACTAGCCTGCACACGTTTATTCCTTTTCTTTTCCAAGATACTCCCGTCCCCCCAGTAGCGTCGCTCAATTCCAGTCTGTACAATGTCTGCACTGGTTTTCTGAAAAACTTCCCGTCTTGAGCTTTCACTCAACAAGGATAGACTGTTTGGAGAGAGTGTGTGCAAGCTGCAGTTGTTCGACGCGCTTCGCGAATACTTCCAGCTGAACATATCGGACCCAAAACATTTCAGACTTGTTTAGCTCCCATGCCAAAATTGTTTCGCTGAGCAAAGTTTGAAGTCCACCACATCGATTCACAAAGCTAAAGACCCAGGCGGTGATGCGCAGGAGCTTCTGCAGGTCTTTATGCTGCCTTATATCGATCACCGGGTGTAAGTTTCTGGACGACACTTGAAGAAATACATGTCGCGTCTCAATCTCTGTCTCTTTGTTTATCGGTTTGTACTGGTTAGGTTCTGGAGGCCAGCCTGATTTTTGCTGGGACAACCATTCAGGTCCATACCACCAATAGCGACATGCACGTAGAGTCCTTATCGGTATGTATACCCCTAGTCAGTACGTCCCCCGGGTTGTCTTCGCCAGGGCAGTAGCGCCATAACGCTGTTTCTGTAACTTGCGTTATTTCAGTGACTCTGTGCTTTACAAATTGACTCCACTTGCTATAGTTTCCGCGTATCCAGCTCAGTGTGATCATGGAGTCAGTCCACATGACGCAATAGAAATGCTTGAAATCCCACGAGGAGCAAATGTATTTTAGCAATCTGGCTCCCACTACCGGGGCCATAAGCTGGAGCTTTGGAAGCGTTAATGTCTTAATAGGTGCCACTCTTGACTTCGCTACTATGAGAGAGGTAGCGGAGTTTCCACCTTCATCAAATGCTCTCAAATAGGCACATGCTTCATAAGCCTTCAGGCTGGCGTCGACAAATATATGCAGTTCAGCCTCTTTAAGGGGGGGCGCGGCAAGTAAAGTGCCGATTTTGGTCAAAATATGCGATTTTCTGATTTATTTTTTTTCGTAATCTTCAGACCTTCAACTTCCTTGTTCTAAAATATTACAGCGAAACGTGCGCTACAAATCCCGCAAATAGTGGTTTTGCCGAGGCTAGTCGTCGAAAAGTGCGAAAAAAAAGCCCCTGAAACGGTGTTGTTCACGCCGCACAAACGCGCCAAGTTGTTGACTGTGGGCCGCCATTTTGGTAGCTTTGGAAAGAGGAGAAAGCCGGCTTCCCGATGGTCGCGGTCTCGTATTTCGCCGAGTGAAAATAAAAGCGCGAGGAGCAAGTAAAAAAACGAAAACGAAGAACGGCAATTGGCTGCGCGGGTCACGTGGTAGCAGGCGCGACCTCTTACTGGTCAAAGCTGCGCCGCGCACCTTGGCAACCTTGGAAGCGCGAGCGCATCTGCGGCCGCCGTGTCGAGAATCATCCGGCGTGCGCTTCGTTTTTTGCCAGTTTGCTGTTTTTGTGATAGTTCGCGTGCTTTTTTACCAAGCTTTGTTTACATCGGTGGTCTCTTCTGAGTGCTTGCTCATACTGCGGTGCTATGTTGCCGCAAAAAAGTTCCGGAGCGTCCACAAGTACGGCAAGCGTCGG